TTGTCACGCTGGTTTTCCTGATATGAACTCAGCTGTTCTCATCGTCGAGGGAGCTCAGGTGCTCACTGTTGCTGAGGATGCCTGCGGTTCTCTTTCGGGGAGCTCTAGGCCTTACCTTGAGCATCACTTCCTGGCTCCAGTGCAGATCCCACAGCCTGCTGTCCCAGATCCTTCACCCTCTGGCACAGACTTTCTAACTTCCACTACTGACCTTGGGGCCTTCCCAGTGCAGAACCTTGATACAGACTTGCATGAGATATTGTCGTGGGCTCTAGGCCTCCAGCTGGACTCGTGGAGAATATTGCTGTGGGATCCAGGCTGTTAGCCGGATTCTTCGGGTTTCTAGCACATGGACAGATCTTCTTCGGGTTTCTAGCACATGGACATACTCTTTTGCATTTGACTTTTTGGGGGATTATTATAAAATAATCCTATAAATTATGTGTCCTGTATTAAATCTTGCAAATTCTGACCACAACACCTGGCTTCCTCCTGCCCCTGGGGGGCAGGTCCTTGCAGAGTCAACCACCCCCTGTTAACAACACAGAACCAACTGCATCCGGAGGTATCCAGCTGGCCTCTCCAAGCCCTGCTGTGTCATTCCCTATTTCCCTTGACATTCTAGACCTTCCTTTGGCTGAACTGGACCCAAGATGGCAACTGACCATTTAAGGAAGCTGAAGGTGGGGATGACTGCAGAATTAGATTCTCTCCCTGTTTCTCACCTTGTGTCTAATCGCATGCCCTTCCCCTGGAATACCTGCCCATTCACTTGCAACCATTGGCAGATATTTGGCTGGGACCAATTTGGATCAGAGGCTGCTCCAATGAAAAGGACAGCCAATCCAGGCCTTCCATGCTAGGCGCCTACCTTAGATGTCAGTGCTGGAATGAGCCTTGAAGGTCACACGAACTGACCCTTGGCCATGAGAAATTGAGCCCAGAAAGGAAAAGAACTTGTCCAGTGTCACACAGCTCCATGGGGACAGAATTCAAGCCTCCTCGTGACAACTGTCATCCAAATTATGCAACCAGTTCAGAACTGCCTAGGGAGGGGCATGGCCCCAGTTTCTGTCTCCCCTGACTGGCTGTGTGGTCCCTGTTGTCCCGCAGGCTGAAGTCTCAGCCCTCTGAGCTTGGACAGCAGAAGCCACACTTTTGTCCTGAGCAAAGCCCTCCCTTTGGCCTGTCTGATTTTGGGGTCACTCACAAAGTGCTCACTTATTTTCTCCCCTCTGTCTTCCCTTGGCCTGTCCTCTTCCCCATACAGAGCCATGGAAGCCCGAAGACGAGGCTGGTACAGCCCATGGAAGACCTCAGTGAGCAACATGTGAGTAGCCACTTTGTTGTGTGGTCTCCCTCCCTCCCTAACTTCTTCTCCCCAAACATTCATTCACCTGTCAAGCATTTATTGAGCATCTATTATGTGCTTGTTGAAGTACTAGGTTACAGGCTTTTACATAAACATTATGCAATCCCTCAAGGAGGTCTCAGTACTGTGAGGGAAAGGCTCAATCAGAGAGCAGTGTAACTGGTATCTAGGGGAGCACAGAGGAAGAAAATGGAACCTAGGTTTAACAGGGGGTGTTTGCCGAAGGCTTCCCAGAGGCAGTGATATCTAGGCAGAGATTTAAGGATGAGTTAGCACTATCCTTAAATCTTATGAAGGGGGTGGGAAGAGGAGGAGTGTTCTTGCAGAGGGAACTGCTTGGGCAGAGGCCCTGAAGGGTCCCACGTCTTTGTGGGGAACTGGTGGTGCCCCATCTCCTGGACTGAGGCTGAGAGCCTCTAGGCTTTCCTGCTCCTTCACCCTGCAGAGAGAGGCCTTGCATCTTGCTTGATAGTTGGTTCTGAACTTTGAGCCCAGGGCAGAGTGGGGATGCACCCTCCTGTGGAGGAGCAGGCCCTTGTCACCAGGCTTGTGGGATGGGCTTTTGGAGGAACGGAAGTCCTGGCAGAGGGATGTGGGGAAAGCCTGGTTCACAGTCTACAGAGCTCTGCGGAGAGCCAGAGCTGCTTGTGGAGTGAATGGAAGGTCCAGACTGGAGGAAGGACAGGAAGCGGGGGTCTGCATAGGAAGAGGGAACCCCAGCGCCACAGGAAGAGGGCAGGACAGTGGTGGGACTGGTCAGGAGCCTGCGCCATGCACCTCCTCAGAACAGGGTGGAGGCGTTTCTCCCCATACTAAGCCTCCCACTCACAGGCGGGCATCTGCCCAGTGTCAGAAAAGTGACAGCCACATGCTGGCCTGGAGGAGGGTGGCTGTGCGGAGGGACAGAGAAGGTGACTTTGGGGGACAGGTTCAAAGGCTTACGTCACTGGGGAAGGGGGAGTCACAGGCTGTGGTGATGCTGGAGTGGGAGCAGGAGACTCTGGAACCCAATCTGCCTCAGCACTGCCAGGAACCCCTCCAGTGACAGCCAAGAAAGCCAGGCCATGCACAGGGCATTGCCCAGCCCGTGGGAAGTAGGAAAGGCGGCGCGGAAGCTCAGCTAGCCAGAGACATGGCAGTTAGTGGCTGTTCTGAAACTATCTCAGAAGCACACCAGTGGCTCCCAGCTGCCGCAGATGGGCAGAGAGGGTTGGTGTGCTTGTGTGACCGGAGAAAAGAGGAGGCAGAGAGAGTTCAGGAGGCTTTCTGGGAAACCTTCCCAGCACTGCTGGCCTTGAGAAGTAACCTGAGCCAGAAAAGCAGACTTCCAGCCAGGGGTGGGCAGGCTCAGGTGAGGGAGCGGGGGTTGTGACAGTGCTGCTGCTGCTGCTGCTGCTGCTGAGCGCTGAAGAAGGGGGGTGGGGGGACCACCGACAACTCCTTGCCTGCTGCTGAGGGAGCCCGGCCTGGGTAAGGCTGTGTTTCCCAAGATACAGCATCGGAGGGTTGAGCCAGGATGAAGCAGTGTAATAGCAGGTCCTTGGCCTGCAGCTGGTGTGAGGCTGTTTAGAACAGCTGGAGGATGGAATCGAGGTTTGGGGAGAAGGGCCTGGTATCAGCCAGGGCTCGGGCTTGATGGTGTCTAGAATCCTCCACCAAAAGCTGGGAGCTGGTGCTGGGAGTGAGGGAACCCTGGGTGCTGCCCAAGGAAAAGGTGTGCAGAGGCTGCAGACAGCCAGGGTCAAACTCTGAGTGGGGACCTTGGCAAGGATTGGGAGCCTGAGGAGGACAGGGGTGTTGGTTTCTGTGGAGGCCAGAACCGTGACGGGAGGACTGAGTAAGGATTGTACTGGGAATGCCTGAGAGGTGAGGTGGCAGAGGACGCTGAAGAACAGCTGAAAGAGGAGATTGTGCAGGGCGGAGCTGGGAATCGAGGCCATCTCCTCAGCAAGGCACCTGCTCCGCCAGGCCAGTGCGCTGAGTGTGAGTAGAGTGAGTAGGTGTGCAACCTCATTTGACACACACAGTAGTCCAAGACCTATCCCCAGATCCATACCTTGGGATTCTGACAGTCTGGTTGAGCTTCCTGGTTGAGCCCTTTTTCCTAAGGGAGAAAGGGCATGGGCTCCATGTTTACAGGCTGGGTAGCAAACCCCGCCCCTCCCTATGTCACATGACTTGGGGCAGAGAGGAGTTCTGCTTTCCTACCTTGCAATGCACTGGGGCTAGAGATGCTACCAGGACATGTGAAAGGCAGCACCAACAGGCACCCAAGGCTCCGGTGGCTCTCTGGAGCCGGGTGGAGGGAGCAGGATACGAGTGCTTTGGCCCAGCATGCCAGGAAACTTCGAGTGATCACGTACAAGGTTTTTATTAGTTCAATCACTCTTGGACACAGAGAAGTGCGTGGGACTCTTCTATGCCAAAATTTCCTTCCTAAATATGTATGTGAACTAGTACTTTCTGTTTTATGGAGGGTGAGTCCTACCCAGAAGTGTGAAGTGGCACCTGCAGTCACTGCCAGTCTCTTTTGCAGCTTTGAGTAGATTCGGAAGGTTGCAAGCACCCTGCAACAGTCAAGTTCCTGCTGCCCTCCGAGTAGGCCAGAATGCACGTGTATCACAAGCGTCTTGCTGGGCAACCTCCAATCATATGATTTAACAGAAGAGAGGCATCTTTCAGACAATAGAGCGATTTTTAGTTGGCTTTTTTGGTAGTAAGTTTGTCTCCCTACTCATATTTTGCATAAACTGCTGTTAAAGTGGATTTGCACTCTCAGCACAGCCGGAAGTTTCACGGAGGGGATCGAGGTGGGAGACATGCAGGCCCTGGCAATCACTAAGACGGATAAAACTAGGAGCTAACTAGCACCACTGCTGGTCATCCAGATATCATAACAAAACCAGCCTCATCCTGAAGCTTCATTCTGAGATCACTCATTCATTTGACAGATGCGATTAGAAACACTCTATTTTACAGAGGGGTAGATGGAGACAGTGCCCAAAGGGGACTCGGGTCCGCTTCTGTGGCTAGTTTGGTGCATTCCTATCGGGGGCCAGAAGTTGTCCATGAATTCCTTGTAGTTGATCAGGTGGGGCGAGAACCGCTAAAGAAGCTCCTGGTGGGAGACAGGTGTGACAGGTACCCACCCCGAAGTCCCTAAGGGTCAGGGCAGTCAGAGGCACAGGCAGAAGCTACAGGGGTGATGGAGGAAGGCGCTCAAGTGCAGGGAAAAGTCCCTGGGTCGCAGAGGATTTGCGTGAAGCGCTGTTGTCTTCTGCTGGGCAAGTGGTGGAGGCCTGGGTTTTAAGGGGAAAGACAGAAAAAAGCTCCCTTTCTTTCCAACTCGCAAGCCTTCCTTGGCGCGCTAGGATGCCTGTGAGTTCCTTCTCCAACTCCTGGAGAAAAAGATAACCCCGCAAGAGTCCAGCGAGGCGCATGGCCAGGTGGAGAGCCGAAAAGCCCGCACCAGGGAAGAGCCGAAACCCTCGGGCGACTCCCGGGGGAGGGCATTGGCGTCAGGGGCGGGGCAGGAGGGCGGGGAAAGGGGCGGGGCTTCCGCAGCCCAATCACCTTCTTTCCCCGCCCCCGCCCCTTTCCACCAACAGTGCGCCGCGGTGGGCGGTCCCTGTTACGGCAGCGGTTCCTGGGTGCGATTTTTTTTCCTCCCCCCTTTTTTCTCTCTCGTCTTCTCTCTTTTTTTTTTCCTTTCCCTTTTTGTGAATGAAAAAAGGAGGTCGCTAGCGGCGCCCGGCTCTGCAGCGCTAGGCAGACGTCTTCAGACAGTGCCGGCGCCGCGGGCCTCGCCCGGCTCCTTGCACTCCCGCGCGCCCGCAGCCTCAGCCGGAGCCCGGCCTGGCCCGGCCCCGCAGCCGGAGGTCGGGGCGGCCGCGCGCAGCCCAGCCCGCGCCCCCGCCTCCATGACATTGGGCGCCCCGGGCGCGGGGAGATGCTGATCCGGAAGAGGCAGTGTCTGCAGTGCAGCGCCGTCCGGCCTGGGCTGATCTGCCAGAGTTTCTGATCATCGCGAACAGGGCCGGACCTGGAGCCCACAGCGGCCGGCGAGGGAGGCCGGCGTCGTCCTAACTTGCCCGCGTGGAGTGACCCCAGACATCTCACTAAAATGAACGTGCTTAGCAGGAAGAGATGTGTTCCGTACACTAGCAATTACCCCGTCACATGTAGTGGTGTAAGTAAATGACTGTTTTCTGTTTTGCCCTGGTTGCAAGCAACCTGTGCAAACGCGCCGCCTCGCCCTCCGTCTGCCTCCTGCGCGCGCCCTCCCGGCCCTGCCCGCGCCCCTTGTCCTCCAGCAGGGCTCTGGCTTCGCTGCTGGCGTCTGAGGGGGCGAGGGGCTAACCTCCGCTGCTGTATTTCCAGGGAAAGGGAGATGACTTGAATGCCGTAGCGTGTTGTGCCCCTCCCCCTTTCCTTTTTTCTTTTTCTCTCTCGTCTTCTCTCTTTTTTTTTCCTTTCCCTTTTGTGTGTGCAGAACAGTGTGGCGGGGGCTAAAAAAGAGGTTGGGGTGCAAATTTTTTTTTTTTTTTAAATGCTGGTGGAATTTGGGCGTTTTGCTTGCTGTTGTAAAGGTGTCTCAGAGTTCAACTCCATTGCAGTCTGTGCAACTGAGTTCTGGTAAAGTACTGGTGAAAACCGCTAGTGTTGCTTGTAAAAATTTCGACATCTTAGGCTTGAGAAGGTTCATCCTGTGTTTAGGCTTGCAGTTTTGCTAATATGACCATTCAAGATCTCTTTGGGCCTTACTGCCCATTGGGTCGAATTGAGGATCCATCTTTACGCCTTCGCAGGTATTACAAATGTCAGCGACCCCAGTGCGAGCTCCTTTAATTCCAAATCCACCCTCTGCTCGTCTCCTCCGATTCTCCCTATCCATCTTCTAGATTTTTACTTTCATTTTCAGGATTTTCCTCCCTTTCACGTTTTGTAAGATGCAGGATGTGGGATTTGGTTGCTAGGAGACAAGCCCGGCTCCCAGGGAGATTCTGTTGTTTCCTTGACAACCAGACTAGGGCAGCCACTGATGAACAAGCCTCCTATCAGCTGTGGGAGGGAAAGGGGGCCTCTTCTGAGCTCTGCAGAGAGTGTGTGTAGGGGTGTGTGTGGGGGGGAATGGGAGCCCAGGAGGTTTGTAGCTAATCTGAGCACACCTTCAAGTCCCGCCTGCAGCGGAGGAAGAGCAGGGAGAGCAGTTGGGCAGGAAGCTGTTTTGGGAGATGGCCCCAGTGGTCACGCTGCAAGGGTTGAGGGGAGCACATGCTGGGACTTTGGGATTATGTGGGAGAGGAGTGGGTTGAGAGTTGTGAATCCCAGGGGAGTGTACAAGGGAATATTAGTTTCTGGAAGGTAGCTGGGAGGCTTTGCAGGAGTAAGGATGAGGCAATGGGGAGGAAAAGTCTAGAGTCACTGAAGGAGAGGACGCCAGAGGGAAAGGGAAGTTGAGATGCTCACTGAGTGGGCTGTACCATTTGCACCAGCAATGGTCCAGAAAAGTAGAACTATCCAAAGCAGAAATTGCATTACTCTTGGCACACTAGCTCCAGGACAAGAATCTCATTTAAGACAGGCCTGATTAGACTAAGAGATCTGCTGGCTTAATTGGGCCAGTCTGTATCTTAAAGGGAGATATCATTACACATATAGATATACAATCTGGCATTATATAATATCACATTACATAAGAAGACAAGTACCTCCTTTCACCCTGGCTCTCTTGGCACAAGTTAATGGCGAGCCATGAGACTGTCTTCCAGTGCTCTCATACCCATTTTCCAGAGGGGAAGACTGATGCCCACCAAAGTGTAGTGATTTGCCTTTTCCATGGTAGGCGGATGACATTTGCCAGTCAGGCAGTTGGGACAGGGGTGGAATGGGTGAAGATATTAAGTACAGGGAGATGGTTGACGGACACACTGGGGAAAGTCAGAGGGGCAGCCGTGGAGCACATGGGGAAGGGGTGTTCAGCTTGGTGAACATGCAGCAAGTCTGGTGTCTAAACTCATGGCCCAGTATTTGTCACTGTTCTACTTGTTGGTTGGCTGTCCTCTACTTAACCCTAGAGGTGACACAACGTAAGGTGTGCTGGAGTGTGTTAATCACAAAGTGGCTGAACTCGGACCAGCCCTACTCTGCTGGTGTCCTGGTATCATCCCCGCTACCAGGATGCTCCTGGATTGAAGAACTGAGGCCCTGACCCCTTCTTTTCTCCCCCTACCCACCCGCACTACCTCCAGAGCTACATGCTGCTAGAACCTAAACTCCAGAAAGAAGTTCTGTGGCCAGGGGGTTTGCATTTCTATCTTGCAGCTGTGTGTACTTTGCACTTGGGATTCTATCTGTGTTTTGTTATTTATCCATGAAACAGAAACCACACCCACACGCCTCCTCACAGTGATTCTCAAACATCCCCCAGGAACTGTCAAAGTGGGCTTCCTGGTCCTTAGCTCAGGAGAGAGAAGAAGGAGGAGGACGCCAGTCGGGGGAAGAACGGTGGCCTAATGGGAAGAGAAGTAGGATGTAGACAGGAGGGAGCTGCATGGAGACCTTTGTTGTTTAAGGATCCAGATACTGTGCAGTTCCGAGGAGGAGGAGGAGGAGGAGGAGGAGGAGGAGCTGCCTCACTGAAAAGTCCTTGCTGCCCTTTTCGCTTAGGTTGCTGAGCTGCATCCACTCGGGCAAATCCCAGTTGCCATTGTTACTTGGGTATTTCGGTTCTGCATTCCTGCATGTTGGCATCCAGTTACAGCCCGCAGGAGTGGAGCGTCTCTGCTGCTGCTGCTGGCCTGGCTCTGGGGCTGGATGGCTCAGCTATGAGGTGCCTGGGCACCTCTGAGCCTTGGCTGAGGAAGGATTCCTCTGGGTCGTTCTAGCCCCTTCTCTGCACATGGGGAATGTGAGCAGTGGCCGACCGATGACCCTGCAGAAACCAGTTCCCTTCAGCGTCCCCTCAACCCTTCGAGGAGGGTGGATTCCAGCTGAGAGGCTGCCAGCCTAAGCCCCCTTGAGCCTCCTGGTAACAGCTTTTTAGACTCTGACTTGACATTTTGACGGCAGAAGGGCCTTCTGTTTGTTCATTTGAGCCATCCCTCACTGGGGGTGAACAAGCTGCTTCCTCTCTGCCCAACACTGGAGGAAACTGAGGCAAGCATTTGACACTGCAAGTTTTGACACTGCTTCTCCTGAAGCCTGCACTCCATGGAGACAGCAGAGTGAGCTTCTCCTGAGAGTGCCTAGTGCTGGGTCTTACCAGGAATGGGAAGTACAGATGAGGGAAAATCTCGCTTTCTCAGGGGCTGCATGCAGGAGGAAGCTGAGGAGGAGCAGCCCAGGTAGGAGACAGGCGTAAGCCATGGTTACCCTACCCCCGTCTCAGGCAGGCCTTTAGCTGAACAAGACACATGGGCAACGTGACAGGCCCAGCGTAGAGGAGGGAGGCCTGCAGGCTGGGCAGGTGCATCCAGAAGCCTCTCCAGCCCATACAGGCTGGCAGAAAACCTCTCCCATCTCCACAAAGAGGGCTAGGCTTGGAGGATGGATAAGAGCCTGGGGCATGGAAATGCACCACCAGAGAGGGCCAGGGCAAAGGGGGAGGCCAGGAGAGCTGCCACTCAGCCCTGACAAGTCCATTAAATTTTAAAGTGGGCCTGCCCTGGGGCATGCTGGGAAGGGGTGGGGACCTGGCCCCAACTCTGCTTCTCTCAGCTGTTTGTTCTGCTGCTGTCACAGCCCTGGGAGGAGGAGGAGGAGGAGAGCAGAGGATGAGTGAGCTCCCAAGCACATGCTCCTCTTTCTGGGGCGGCTGGGACAGGACAGGCGCAGGGCAGGCTCTGCCTTGGGATCGCTCGCAGGCCTCCTCCATCCGGAAGCCCAGCAGGAGGACAGGCCGGACCAGAGGGAAACAAGTGGTCCATCTGGTGGCGTTGCCACTCTCAGCCTGAATGGGATGTTTCCTCAGGACCCTGCAGAGCCCCTGTCCCGAAAGTCGCCCGCGCTTCTCTCCTTTAGTGCCAATGCTCGACGAGGGGCCAGCCGCAGCTGACCGGAGCTGCCTGCCCTGACCCTGGTCTCGGGGAGCTGGCATGCCAAGCTGTCCTGACCACTGCCCTCCTGCCCCACAGGTCCCAATTAATGGATTCTGACATGGATTATGAAAGACCAAACGTAGAGACCATCAAGTGCGTGGTGGTGGGGGACAACGCTGTGGGCAAGACCAGGCTCATCTGTGCCCGGGCCTGCAATGCCACCCTCACCCAGTACCAGCTGCTCGCCACCCATGTGCCCACAGTGTGGGCCATCGACCAGTATCGTGTGTGCCAAGAGGTAAGGCCGCAAGACCACTCGGCAGGGGACCACGCCATGCCTCTGAGGCTTCTTCCTAGCCGTGGCTTAGTGTCTCTAGAGCTCACGGGGCCCCAGAGCTCGCTGCCTCCCCCAGGCGCCCAAGAGGGGGCAGCTGAAGCGTAAGGAGCCCATGGAGACAGGTTGAGGGGAGCCCACGACTGAGGCATTGTCTTCGACCGTTTGTGTTTCGAATAGTTGGACTGGCGCCTGGCAGACCCCGATTAGGCTGGGTACTGCGTCTTGTGCAGTCACATCCCTAAGTCTTGGGGAGTCCTCTGAGCTGCAGCTTAGGAAAGGTGAAAGCAGAGACAGGAAAAGATCCAATGGCGAAAGATCATGTCAATATGTGATTGCAAGGAAAGCTGGAAACAAGGATAGGATCCCGGCTGTACCTTCTTTGTGTCTCTCCTGATTCTGCTGGGCTTTGAGGCCACACTGTTACTGATTCTGCAGAGATTTCATGCGGATGAGTGTGTTGTGCAAGGTACATAGTAGGAGATGCCACTTTGTCCCTTCACCCCCCTCCCCTGTGTTGCTGTGAGACCTTGGGGGTGAGCTGGCACCTAACCCAAGGGCTGCCACCCTTGTTGCCACCCCCACCCAGGTGCTGGAACGCTCCCGAGACGTGGTAGATGATGTCAGTGTCTCCCTGCGCCTCTGGGACACCTTTGGAGACCACCACAAAGATCGCCGCTTTGCTTATGGGAGGTAGGGGAAGCCTGGGCTGCCTGTAAGGAGGCATGTGGGCGGGTTTTTCTATTCCCTCCAGGGACCAAGCAACTCTGTACCCTTCAGACCTAGAGGAAAGTGTGGAGGAAAACAGCACAGCAGATGCCTTTGGGGCAGGGAAGGATGGGGGAGCCTGGGCGTAGGGTCCAGAGGCCTGGTTTGAGTCCCAACTCTGCCACGTCCAAACCCTGAGCTGACTTTTCTCACGATGAGATGGTAGAAATGGTAATTTTGAATTAGCAAGATAGTCATGCGGCCCCACGAGTCTTTAAGTGCTAAAATGCTACATAAATTATAGAGGTACTATTGTTATGTAATGTGTAGGAGGTGGGGGAACAGGTTCATAAGCTAGGTTTGGGCCTGCAGTGCAGGGGTAGGGGTGCGCATGCATGTGCCCTCGTTGCAGGGACAGGTCACTTCCCCCCAGCTTTCTCTGCCCACGACTTCTCTCTCCCACCCCCAGATCGGATGTGGTGGTTCTGTGCTTCTCCATTGCCAACCCCAATTCCCTCCACCATGTCAAGACCATGTGGTACCCAGAAATCAAGCACTTCTGCCCCCGAGCGCCTGTCATCCTGGTGGGCTGCCAGCTGGACCTGCGCTATGCTGACCTGGAGGCCGTCAACAGAGCAAGGCGGCCCTTGGCCAGGTAGGGGTACTGGGGGCTGGGGAGAGGGGTGGGCACCAAGGAGGGCAGGTCACCATAGCTCCCTGCTCAGCCCTGAGGGAACCCCACTGAGGCTTACATCTTTCCCTCCACTTAGAGTGAGCTTACATCCGAGCCAACAGGCATGCTTGTTCACCCATCCATTCACATACGTGTCTGTCGCACACCTACGGGGCAAACAGTGCTGTGCCTAGGCACTGTGCAGAAAGACGGAGGGGCAGGTGGGATTTACATCAAAAGGTCTTACAATTTTTTTGGAGCTAATACAGTTGACCTTCTGTATCCAGAGGTTTGGCTGTGAATGGAAAATATTTTTTAAAAACTGAACCTGTACTGATTATGCTCGCTTCGGCAGCACATATACTGAATCTGTACTGAACATGTGTAGACTTTTTTCCTTGTTGTTATGTCCTAGACAAGGCATCATAAAACCCTTTACATAGCATTTACATCGTATTAAGTATTATAAGCAATCCAGAGATGATTTCAAGTCTAGGGGAGGATGTGTACAGGTTACATATATACTATAACATTGTAAGTCAGAGACTTGAGATTCCATGGGTTTTGGTATCCGGGTGAGGTCCTGGAACCAGTCCCCCGGGAACACTGAGGGTTAGCCGTATATGAGCAGGTTAATACCAATGTGAGCCCTTCCATGCTAATTGCAGAAAGGGAGGTGGCGCTATCACGGTTTTGAACTGGGGCATGAGGAGCACTGAGGTCTGGCATGGGTAGTGAAGTAGGGAAGGCTTCCTGGAAGATGAAGGTTTGGAGGAGGACCTGAGGGACCTTATAGGAACTTGGCCACACAGAGGAGAGAGAGCAGGGCAGGAGAGGGGCCAGCACTGATGATCATGAGCAGAGGCCCCCAGCCTGGGGAAGGATGCGCACGCTCCCTCCACCACCAACACAAGTTTGGTTTCCTTCCTTGAACTCTCCAGGCCCATCAAGCCCAATGAGATCCTTCCCCCGGAAAAAGGTCGGGAGGTGGCCAAGGAACTGGGCATCCCCTACTATGAGACCAGCGTGGTGGCCCAGTTTGGCATCAAGGACGTCTTTGACAATGCCATCCGGGCTGCGCTCATCTCCCGGCGCCACCTACAGTTCTGGAAGTCTCACCTCCGCAATGTGCAGCGGCCTCTGCTCCAGGCACCCTTCTTGCCCCCCAAGCCCCCGCCCCCCATCATCGTGGTGCCCGACCCCCCCTCCAGCAGTGAGGAATGCCCCGCCCACCTCCTGGAGGACCCGCTCTGTGCGGACGTCATCCTGGTGCTGCAGGAGCGGGTGCGTATCTTTGCCCACAAAATCTACCTCTCCACCTCCTCCTCCAAGTTCTACGACCTGTTCCTCATGGACCTGAGTGAGGGGGAGCTGGGAGGCCCCTCGGGGCCAGGGGGACCCCGCCCAGAGGACCACCGGGGCCACCCCGATCAACACCACCACCATCACCACCACCACCACGGGCGGGACTTCCTGCTACGGGCAGCCAGCTTCGATGTATGTGAGAGCGTGGATGAGGTGGGAGGCTCCGGTCCTGCTGGTCTCCGAGCCTCAACCAGTGACGGGATCTTGCGGGGCAGTGGAACAGGGTACCTGCCAGGCAGGGGTCGTGTGCTGTCTTCCTGGAGCCGAGCTTTTGTCAGCATCCAGGAAGAGATGGCAGAGGATCCTCTGACCTACAAATCCCGGCTGATGGTGGTGGTGAAGATGGATAACTCCATCCAGCCAGGGCCCTTCCGGGCTGTTCTCAAGTACCTGTACACAGGCGAACTGGGTGAGAATGAGCGGGACCTCATGCACATCGCCCACATTGCCGAGCTGCTGGAAGTCTTCGATCTGCGCATGATGGTGGCCAACATTCTCAACAACGAGGCCTTCATGAACCAGGAGATCACCAAGGCCTTCCACGTCCGCCGCACCAACCGGGTTAAGGAGTGCTTGGCGAAGGGCACCTTCTCAGGTATGGGGCATGCTTAGAAGGTCAGGGATTGTCTCCAGATAGCTTTCTTAAGGACGTGGGCTGGTCCCATTAGCATTCCAAGCAGGTTTTAGCTTTGACATCCTGGAGCTAGGACCGCCTGCTCCTTGAGAAGAGAGCTTGGTCATGCTACGCAGCTGTGGCCTCAGAAGAAAGCTGGGTAGTCAGGGCTCCATGTCGCCCTTGGGGTTGATCCTCCTCATGCTCACAGAAGCTCATGCGGTGCCTCTTCTCCTCCCACACAGACGTGACCTTCATCCTGGATGATGGTACCATCAGCGCCCACAAGCCCCTGTTGATTTCCAGTTGTGACTGGATGGCTGCCATGTTTGGGGGGCCGTTTGTGGAAAGTTCCACCAGGGAGGTGAGGCGGAGCATGGGAAGGGGTCACGGGAAAGGGACAGAGTGACGGGCCTGATAGAAATGTATAAGATGGTTCCTAGAGCCAGGGAATTGACCATATTCCAGGAGGGGGAATTACAGTTACTGCTGAACTTGGTAGTTTGGGAAGGACTTTCGTATGTGACTCTCACAGTGTGGCATTCCCACTTCGTACATAGGGAAGGGAAGCCCTGACAGATGGTGACCTGTGAGCAGAAAGGAGAGATTAGGACTGGGTCTCAGGATTGCTGATTCCTTGGCTCTTTACGTAACACCTTGTTGCCTCCCTGAGACTTGTGACACAACTGGAAAAAAACAATTGTGTCCCAAGTTGAATCCACCACTGTTTTCAAAGACAGGTTTTATTATTACTGAGCTCTGGTGAGGCCAGCATCTGGAGACGCTCACCACTGAAAAGCTGTGCTGTTACAGATCCCGAGGAAGGGAGCGTGTGCATCATGGGTGCCACACCGGGAAGTGCCAGGGTCGGCCAGGAGCTGGAGAGTGTCTGTGGGAAGGGGAAGAGCAGGCCCAGCAAGCAGGCCTGGGATTGGCCAGCCTGGACCATTTCAATGGGCCATGAAGGCTCTAGAGTCAAAGCATCAAAACTCGGAATAGAAAAGGGCATACTGAGTGCAGTCACCTTGCCCTCTAAGTAGTACCCGGCCAGCTCACCTCCGCTTCCCTGTGCTGCCACTTCCTCAGAACGCTAGACCAGAAGCTCAGAGCTCGAAGGGCTCATCACTGTTTGCTTAGAAATGTTCTTTCTTTCCCATCCTCCCAGCCATGCACAGTAGCCCAGGCTGCAGCCCTTGGCGTTCACCTTCATCTCTGAATCTTGGAACATTAATTGCCCACCACTATGCCTTGTAGTTACAGTTCTACTTTGCTCAGATGAGGAAAGTTCTGGGTGTCCCCTTGAAGTTTCTCCCACTGGTCTGTCATTGCTTTTGAGAGCAGGGACTAGGTCTTTGGCTTCTGCCAAGTACCTGTCTGTTAGTGAAGGATCACCCAGTACTTGAATGAAAAGCTGAGCCAAGAGCAATACAGTGTCATTTCCCGCTATCCGGAAGATGACCTTCCTGAGATTTCTGGGAAGCAAGTCCTTAGGGAAGGCCAAGTGGAAGGCTTGAGGTGTGGAGTGGTCTCTGACGTGGGAGTAGGATTTGGATTTACAAAGGGTGGACTGGGATTCTCTGCAGCCCCAGGGGCCTGCCAGCCCCGGGCACTTCTCAGTACCAGCGACACCAGCTTTAAAGCTCTGGCCAACTCCCCGCACGCCCAGAGAAACTCACATCTGATGAGAAAGCAGTTTTGGTTGCAGCACTGCTTCAGAGAGATCCCAGAGGCCCAGAGCAGCAGCTTTGAGCAGCCAGAGAGAAGCCAGCTGGCGTTCCCTTTGCTCCTTCTGTGTCCCACTGCAACTGCTCCCTGCAGGCTTGAGGTGGGGGTAGTGGTGGCGGGGTTGGAGAGGGGGTGTTGGTAAGTGATGTAAATGGCTCTTTAGAGCACCTGGAAGCCAGAGCAGCTTCAAGATGCCGCAAAGAATCCAGGTCCCTTTAAAAGAGTCTTGTGCCTTGTTTCTGGGTGCTGTCCACAAAGTGAGGCTCAGCACCAGGCGTCACTTTGGGGGCTGGGCCTTTGGGGGTCCCTGAGCAGATACAAGCCCAGCACAGATCCTGGACCTGAGGTACTCTTTCCCTAAGCTGAGCCTCATGGCGCCCGGCCTGCTTCTCCCCACCCAGGTGGTGCTTCCCTACACGAGCAAGAGCTGCATGAGGGCGGTGCTGGAGTACCTCTACACGGGCATGTTCACCTCCAGCCCCGACCTGGACGACATGAAGCTCATCATCCTGGCCAACCGCCTCTGCCTGCCGCACTTGGTTGCCCTCACAGGTAACTAACTGGAGTGCTCAGGGCGCTCCCCGGGCGCAGTCAGGGAGAGCCTGCCGGGGCAGTGATTATGTGTCACCTGTCCCCTCTCTCCTGGGAACAGACAGCACCCCAAGGGATGAAGTGCTCCTAGAATGAAGTCCACTGACACGTAGTTTTCTGGGTGAGGATGTAGGTGAGGAGGGTGTTTGGTCCGTGCCGCGGAGAGGCTCTGCACAGGTCACCTCAGCCCACAAAGTGGTCCCCGGCAGGCAATGGCACATTGCGTCTTGGCTTGGCTTCACTCAGGCAGGCCCTCGACGTCAACACAGACTAGATCACCATTCCACATTTCTACCCTGTGAGTCTTCTTGTCTGCTTCACACTTCCCTTTCTTTCTTCTCTACCTTTGTCACCACCTTCTCTTCTTGCAGAAACAGAAAACAAACATTGACCCTCCACTCCTGACTCTGTGAAAGGGCTGTGATAGCTGGAAGCTCTGGGATGTCTCAGGGGTGGGGAAAGAAGGGTGGTCAGCAGGGCAATTCAGGTCCAAGGGTCTGAGGGAGAGAAATAGTGTTCTTCGGGTGAAGGGAATCAGGCTGGAGACCCAGGCAGCCAGATGGCTTCTGCTGATGTTGGAATTGATGTTTGTGTTGTTGGTATTGCTACTGGTGCTGATGGTGAGGTCAAGGTTAGCATTTCTGGCCAGGCTTGGGAGAGGCAGAGAGAAAATCCTCAGATAAGGAGTTGGGGTTTAGACAAGGACCAAGTATCAGAATTGCTGGGTCCCTGGACAGAGGACCAAGACTGGCATGAAGACATGAGGGAAGACAGCAATCTCAGGTTGATAAAGGAATTGTAAGGCAGAGCATGGTCACAGGAAGAAGGCAGAAATCATTGTTCAGAACCAAAATATGAAGAGATGAGCCTTCTGTGGGAGTCCAGGGATCCCAGCTGGGGTCAAAAGGGACTTTAAGGCAGGGAGTAAGAGAAGCATCTCAAGATTATGGCTGTAACAGTTTCGCCTAGGAAAACTGGTGTGGTCTCCCCAGATCACGTAAAATTTCAAATCCTAAGATGGAGTAATTTTACTTTTAAAAGACTATCAAGAAATGATCCCAAGGAAAAATAAAATATGCAGAGGAATTTCTCTAAACATTCATTTCATCAGGGCAGGCAATTGGAAGTGAGTCAAATCCTTTGTTTAAGCTCTCCTATGTAATTTCACATGGTAGCCATTTTAATAATGCTGGAGGCTGGAGGTGCAGCTTAGTGGTAGGGTGCCTGCCTAGCATCTGTGAGGCCCTGGGTTCCATCCCAGGTATTCTGAAAAATTCATTCATGCATGCATTCATTCATTCATTCATTCATTTAATTTAAAAAGAAAAATAATGTTGCACACATGTTGCATAAGTTTTCTCTGGAAATGGTGCATTCACACTAGCCAGTGTATACAAAAATGTGTACATGTACCTTGTAAAGGATTCTTCAGGAGTGATGCGTATTTCTCAACTCTGGTGAAATTTTGAGCTTTGTGAGATCTACTTCCCGTGAAGTTATTCATTCATATTTAAAACTTCGTTGTTTGTTGTTAAATATAAATAGAAATACATAAAACTACAGGAAACATGTTCAGCTTAGTGGATTAGTATAAAACAAAACATTTTTCCAAGCCTGATGTGTGTCAGGAGCAGGAAGCTAGCTGGCCACACCAGAAGTCACTACCACTCGTCCCACATCAGAGCCCTCTTTCCCAGCTGGAAGGACCCACACTGCTCAGCCCTTTTTTCTTAGAGCACTTCCTGCCAGCTCACTGTCTCACCCTCCCTTCTTGCTTTATCATCCAACTGTGCAACCTTAAACACTCACAGAATGGATTGGCTTTTTATATATCTTTTAGATTTCTTGAATCTATGGCTACCTTGTCCAATAAAAAGTTTTCTCCCTGAAATGTATTTGGTGAAACAAAAACAAAACACTGGTCTTTTCCTCCAGTAGAGTTTTTCATGATCTAGATTTTTGCAGATTGCAGTTTCATAGTGTAGTTGAATGTAGTAAACTGGAAATTTGGCTCTAGAGGCTATATCAGATGCACAATTTTTTTTTTTTTTTTAGACAGCATCTTGCTATGTAGTCCAGATTGGCCTTGAGCTTGCAGTAATCCCCCTGCCTCAGCCTCCTGAGTGCTGGGGTTATAGGCATGTGTCACCATGCTTTATCAGTTTTTTTGTAAGACTGCGTCACAGGTTATTTCTCACTTCATTAAGGGGCAAAGACTGTCTGTTTTCTTCTCTCTTTTTGTGATTTTAGTGGACATTGAGTGTCATTGTCTGGATCCATCAACTTACTAAGGTGTTACAAAATGGTAATATTCCAGTTCAGCCAGTCCTTCTTCATTAATCTGTTGGAAGACTTCTCAAAAGAGAGAAACTTACCCTCACCTGCTATTTGTTACATAATGATACAGGTCATGTAGGAAAGGCAGGTGAATACTTGATTCTCTCCTTTTATTTACCAGTATTTAATATACTTTTATTTCTGAAACTATTGTTTCAGAAGTGACCAAATATCTTTTGTTTTTGTTTTTGAGACAAGATCTCACTGTGTAATTCAGGCTGGCCTTGAACTCACAGTGATCCTCCTGCCTTAGCCTCCTGAGTGCTGGAGCACAGGTGTACACCACCATGCCCAGCTTGTGTTTGCATTTTAATAATATTATTATGAACTCTTAGATTTGGACATACTTGATTGGTTTCAGTGAAGTACAGTTATCTTTTTTGAAGTTCAAACATTGTACGTTTACGTGATAGGAGCCTCTGCACTGGCTCCGGAGTCTCAGGGCTCCCTTGCTATCTGGAGGGATGGGATGGTCTTGGTTCCTCTTGTATATTTCATGCTTTAAGACATGTGTGTCTAACCTTTTGGCTTGTGGCTTGTGTGGGCCAAACAGGAATTATCTTTGGCCACATATAAAATATATGATACAATTAATGTATGTAAGCAACAAACTTCCCTTATTTTCTGTGTTTTAAACTATGTTTTAAAAAAATATAGTCCCTGCATTTTACTTTATTTTTTTTATTTTTTTTTTATTTTTATTTTTTTTCTGGTACCAGGAATTGAACTCACGACCTTGCACTTGCCAGGCAGGCGCTGTGCCACTGAGCTAAATCCCCAGCCCCAAGTCCCTGCATTTTAGTCGCCAAGCTGCACAAGCACCAGTAAGATCTGACATGCCGGGTTTCAATGCCACCGTGGGGGCACAGGTGGCAGAGTTGGCACCAGTCATGCCCTTCCCTATCCAGCCTTCTCTTGTTGCCTACACAACCCGTGCAGGAGCCTCATGCACTCAGTCATGAAAGCATTGCAAGAAAATCGCCTAATAACATTAACGTTTATGATTGCGCAGGGCTGCACTGCTAGTTGTTCAGGGACACGCTTGGCCTGCGGTTTCCAAAGGTTGGACACACCTGCTCCACCACTTGGCATTGGCCATTTCTCTGAGAGCCCCGGGCTTACCCTAGTTGGAAATGGACACGGGATTTCTGTGTACTGGGAATGCTCATTGCTCACGGGGTGATTATTGTTTCTGGATCTTTTCTGTGGACGGAGTTGGGAAATATGTTTGTCTCTAAAGATAAAATCCCTCATGAGTTTATAGTACTGACACTTCTCATTAAGATTCATGACCGAGGGTGTTTTCTTCCTCAGCATGAAAGTTTTAATATAAAATGCAAGTTCGTTGCAAAGTTTAAATGAATGCAGCTGGGTTTAACTCGACAGCTCTAACTCACAGTCCTCAGCCTTCTGTGTTGTCTTCAGGGAACATGAGGCTTCGTACCTCTCCCGTCTGTGTCCATGGCTAATTCTCTTGGGGACTTTTGACCCTGTATATATCGGACTGTGGTGGGACAGATGTGGTTAGAATATCCTCTTAGTGAAGTTAGCATCCTCCTTCACATCCCACCCCGCGTCCCCAACTCACTAAGGTCCTGCCTCATCCCCCCCCCGCCCCCATCCCTCACACTGGAGCTTCCCCGAGTCACCTGTGGCCTCTCCTGGCCTGTTGGGACTTGCCCCTGTCCTCGTCTCTCTCCACCCTGCAGGGGGCCCCTGCTGTGGGTGTAACTAGTACAGGTGCCCGCGGTTCTTGCATTGATGGCTGGCTCTGTGTGTCACAGAACAGTACACGGTGACCGGGCTGATGGAAGCAACCCAGATGATGGTGGACATCGACGGAGATGTCCTCGTGTTCCTGGAGCTGGCTCAGGTATCAGGGCAGGGAAGGAATCTACAGCACTCTGCCTGCCTGCAGGCTCATCTTCCCGCCCACTGGCCGTGTGTAGGGAGGCTGGGAGGTTGTAGGCAGGAAGGCCTCCTACAGTGTCAGACTCCCTAACTTGGAGAGCCCGTCTCAGTGCAGAATCGAGCCCCTGAAGGTTGGTATTTGACATCGGAGCACAGCTGGGGACACTCCTAGGAGGGCCAGCTCCCTAAGCTGAGACGCCTGCATCTTCCTGCTGGGGAGGAGAAGGAAGTCATGTAGGATAAAAGCTAAGAGGGCGGGTGCAGCAGGAGGCCACCCTTCAGGCCGTGGATATCTTTTGTGTCACCGCCTCAGCAAGGCTGAAGCAAGGTGACACAGGGCCTAGTGGCAGTGCCCAGGAGCCCAAGTTAAGCATGGTCCTCCTCAGTCCTGGGTGGGCTCACCTTTGGGGCTGGGCCGTGTGACTGTGGGGTGCTCCCACAGCTCCGAAGGGGACTGCGTCTGCACAGTCTCTTTGAGCCCAGGGGTCTCAGGACAGACGCGCTTCTGTTCTGTCCCCAGTTCCACTGTGCGTACCAGTTGGCCGACTGGTGTCTCCACCACATCTGTACCAACTACAACAACGTGTGCCGCAAGTTCCCCCGAGACATGAAGGCCATGTCCCCAGGTGAGGCCACGTCCCCTGATGCCAGCCCCAGCAGCACCTGCGGCTCCTGCCTTGGGCTCAAGGGGCCTCAGCTTGAGTCTACAGCTGGGACTTTTAACCCAGGGACCAATGATCCTTGGGCCTCACTTGGCCTTGGGTGGGGGCCCATATTGGGGGGGGAACCCCAGGAAAAGTGCTGTCTGTAGGGCTGGGAAGCTGGGGACCTTGGGCAGTTCACTCTGCCTCTAGGCTTGTTTCTCAGGGCATTGATGAGAGTTGGTAGTTTTCAGACCCTCCGGGACAGGGCATCACAATGAGAAAGACCCTTGGTACTGCAATCCAGTACACATATAGAAAAGCATATGAGTCTTTAACATGCTGTTCATGACCCAGAAACTTGGTTTCCCACAGCAGAGACCACTCAGGTCTGGGTAGGTACCCTGTACAGTCACCTGCAATTCCGTCTCTGCTGAATTAATTTCTCAGGTCCTGGAGCCCAACATGAGCTGCACTGGCTGCAGGGAGAGGTGTCGCTGGCTCCCCCAAAGGCTCTGCCACTCGGTGTCCTCACGGGGTTCCCTCCTCTGCTGCGATCCCTCCCAGCTCAGGGTGGCTGCTGCACCTTTCCAGCTCTCCCAGCCCGGTGCTCTCCTCTCTGCGTGTTACGGCCCTTCTAGCGCGTTCTTCCTAAAGCCCAGGCCCAATGACATCGCTCCCTGGTTCCACCCGCCATCTCTGACCAGGGTCCTGTGGCAGCGGCGCTGCCTCTCGATTCCCTCAGCACCTGGGCTCTGGCCAGCAGGAGCTTCACGCTCATCCCTAGCCTTGTGTTGTTCCTTCTCCCTCTTTCTTGGCCCCAGCCTGTTGTATTCCCAGCATCAGGTCCCTGACTTACTTTTTGTTTTGTTTGAGACAAGGCCTTGTTATGAAACTTAGGCTGGTCTCGAATTCACTGTATAGTCCAGGCTGGCCCCGAACCTGCTGTGATCCTCCTGCCTCAGCTTCCCAAGTGCTGGGATTACAGGCATGCGCCCCCAGGCTCCACTTGATTTACATCGTTTGCATGACTGTGGTGCAGTTATGTATTCTGTAGAAAGTCTACTTGGATTTTTGAATAGGATCAAACTCTGACCGACTTCTCCAGTGAGGGTTTGAGAAACACCTTCAGAGCGTAGTTTCCTGGGCTACCCTGCGGTCCTGTCCCTTCTAGGTGATGACACTGGGCCGTGGCAGCAACTCAGCCTGCAGCCGGGAGGACAGTGCAGTGTGCTGTGCTGCTCCAAGAGAGTGCTGGGCGGGCTGGGTAGAGTCAATGCATTTTCTCCTGGTGATACTTCCATTTAGGATGCGCTAACGGAGGGCGTAGGTTGGGAGCAGCAACACGTGTGCTGTCTTCTCCATATCTCCTGGAAGCGCCTCTCCCCTACTGGGCCCTCCTGTCCTGGACCCTGGTGTCAGTGTGCTTGGTGCTGGCCCAGAACCTGCCTCGGGCTGGGACTGTGTGCTTAGGCGTCTCCCCTACCCGTAGTCTTCTGTCCCTTCGCCCTCCTCCTAACCGATCTCCATGCCTTCTGCTTCAGAAAACCAGGAGTACTTCGAGAAGCACCGCTGGCCGCCCGTCTGGTACCTGAAGGAGGAGGACCACTACCAGCGCGCGCGCAAGGAGCGCGAGAAGGAGGACTACCTGCACCTGAAGCGGCAGCCCAAGCGGCGCTGGCTGTTCTGGAACAGCCCCTCCTCCCCGTCCTCCTCCGCAGCCAGCTCGGCGTCCCCGTCCTCCTCCTCGGCCGTGGTCTGAGATGCTGCCACCCTCTCCCAACCCTGCTGCTGTCGTCCCCGTTTGCCCTTGTCCCTGCACTCTTCAGCATCACCCCCTCCACCCAACAGGGACAAGGGGACCCACCTAACCAGGACCCTAAGGGCAGAGCTGATGTCACCAGCCAGCACGGCTTAGGAGCTGGCCTTCCTCAGAACAGGGTCAGCCGCAGGGCCCCTGGTTCCGGGCAGGGCAGGGTCCCGGCTGGGGGCAGGAAGAGAAAGGGCTCCTGCGTCTTCTCTCTGGGCTTGAGGACACGAGCGTTCGAGGGAAACAGCTCCCTGCAGGAGGGTGTGTTTGTGTGTCTATCCCTGCTCTGGCCAGGGAGGCAGCCCCTGTCCCAGACAGCGAGGGCCCTGCCTGTCAGCCACGCCTTTCCATCCGTGGGCTTCAGGGTGGCAAACGTTTCGTGGGCGTTGCTACGTGGAACACACTCAGATCCTCACGGGAGAAGTCAGGGTAGAAATTAAGCTTTCAGAGCCCAACTCAAGATGTCTGTGTCCTGGGGCACAGCTGCAAAAGGCCACTCGTGTAAAGGTTTTTGTCCTGCCAGTGTCCCTCCAGGGCTGCAGCCAATGCAGGCCTGAGGGCAGGTGGCAGAGGTGGTTCTGAGCTCCAGGCCTGGAGGTGGGGCCTCTCGTGGCAGTGAGAAACTGCTCTCCCGCTCCTGCATGCCTCACATTTGGAGGTGGGAGCCAGAGGCAGCAGCTGGGGCGGGGGAGAAGGAGGAAGGGTGCGGTTTGTGCAAAGCAATGCCTCGCTCCTCTGCGGTGGGAGGGGCTTGCTCTGCCCCTGGGTAGCACTGCTTTTTATGGGGCGGGGCAAAATTAGTGAAAAAACAACAGAGGGATGAAAACCAAACTCAAAAGAAGGTCACCAACAGAAACACGCGATCTCCCCAAAGAATGAAGATCAGAAAAAGACCCTGTAGAGCCTACATTTTTATAAAGCCAAACCGAAGGCTCCGGGATGAGGAGACAAGAGGTTAGGCTGCATTGTCTACTCTGAGCCCTTGCAGGGAAGGACCTGACGCCTCTGTGGCTGAGGATGCCCTGGCCTTGCTGGCTGCCCCTCAGGGAAGCCCAGCTCCTGGCCTGCAGCTTGCTGGGGACAAGCTGTGGGGTTGGAGGGAGGGCTTTGGTCTAAGGGCTCGAGCAGCGCTGTCCATCTTGAAGGTGCCTGGACAGAGCTGGAGAACAGGAGTCTCCTGTAATGAAGGATCAAAGACAGCCCGTCTAGACCTGGTTTACCATAAAGGGAAGGAGAAAGAGAATGCAGCAGTTTAGTCCACAGAGAAGGATGAGATTGCAGGATTAAATAGTAGCTTTGCCCATGGGGTAAAAGCTGTGCCTCAGCTGACCTTTTCCCCGTTTCCTAATCCTGACCCACTCTTCACCACCCCTCACCCTTCTTAGATCTCTGGGATGGAGTCCTGCAGAAGCGAGGCACGGTCAGGAGACAGTGCCGGTTCAGAGCCCTGAGAGATGCTTTAGGAAAAAGGACTGGCTAGGCACCAGGGATGGCTGATTAACTCTGGGACAGGCGGCCCAGAAACAGCTGACTCTGCAATGAATGGGTGGTATCCAGACCTGGAGCTCTGGGTGAACCCCTGTTCTCTGGGCTGGGACCTTTGGCTGGGAAGGCAGTTACATGCTGCCCTCTGCTGGAGATCAAATTTCCTGCAGCTGAGCTCTGCCCTGGCTTCCAAGGCAAGGCTGTGCCCCATTCATTGCCTTTGAGAAGGAAGCATGCAGACCAGGGCAGCCCCTTCCCTCCAAGAAGGGGACGAAGCTGAGGGCACACGGGGCCTCCCAGGAACTGTAGGTCCTAAAGAGCCAAGGAGGAGGAATTGGTCTCCCAGGAGCCTGCAGGGCTCGGCACCCAGGGCTACTGATGAGGGTGGACAGGCTGGTGGTGAGAGCTGAGGCCCAGAGGAGAGCGCCACAGTATCCCCACGAGGCAGGCCCACACACTCCTCAGGGACCCACCGCCCTGCCCCACAGCTCTGCTAGAACCAGTCTGTACCCCAGGGGCTGTGGGGGAGGCAGGCCAGCGCGGGGTAGGGAGGAGGTGTGAGTTCCGGTCCCTAGGGACTGGTGCTCTGGCGTGCAGGAGGCAGAAACAGGAAACACCTGGTGCAGGACACGCCCCAGGCACCAGGGAGGGAGGGAGGGAGGGGTGGATGACACAGCAAGAAACACTCCCCAGACTCCTGGCACTCCGCTGTTTCAGAGGAGAACCGGAGGACGGGGCCAAAAAACAAAAACCCACACCTCTTTTTATATAAGGTTTCATATTTAATTTGGTCATAAATTCATAAATACACATGTATTTTGTACCAAACCAAAATTTTGTTGCGTTATTTATTTGATACTGCCAATACAGTTCTGATAGATACACGGCAGGAGTGAAACTACCGCACACGTCCATCGCCGAGCCTCATACAGAACCCAAAGGAGCCTGTGTGCACGTGCTGCCACTGAAAGGACACTTCTGTCCAACACTGACAAGGGTAGCACTTGGTTAGACCTCTGGAAAAGGGATGAGAGAGCCGCAGAGCTCCCTCTAAGAGTAGGGACCAACACCCCAAGGAGCAGCAGACAATGGCCTGCCAGCAGGAACACCCTGCAGCTGCCAGGAACATGGGGGAACCCCAGGCAGCAGCGGGAGGAGGACGGGCATGCCCCATGGGCAGTTCATCCAGAGTGTGTATGTAGCTTTGGTCCAGTTAGCCAGCTCTGGAACAAGACAACGTAGAATGCCCGGAGGTGGGCGAGGAAATAGACTACAGAGCCTGGGAACTGCCACCTCCATGAAATTGTCCTTCCTTGACTGGGGTACTGTGGAGAAAGTTTTGATGGAAAGATGGCTGAATAATGAGTATGAGAATAGAGCTACCCATGATTTCGCACATCTGTAACCCCAACACTTGGGAGGCTGAGGCAGGAGGATCACAGTAAACTCAAGCTTAACCTGGGGTTACATAGTCCCTGTCTCAAAAATAAAAGCACACATCTGTAATCCGAGCACTCTGGGAGGCTGAGACTGGAGGATCACAAGTTTGAACCTAGCCTTGGCCACTTAGTGACTTAGTAAGCCCCTGTCTCAATGTATAACATTTTTTTAAAGGCTTGGGATGTAGCACAGTCCAATTTCCCAAAATAATAATAAATAAAAACTGAACAGAAGCTGCACAGGATAAAACCCAAATGAGTCAGCCATCCTATCTCATTGTCACAGCATTTAACAATTAAGAGTCCTATATAAAGTAGTCAGATGCTTACTGAGGGCTATGGTCCTCATATAGAGAGTCTGCACCCCTGAACACACCTCTGGAGGCTTAGATTCACCAGAAGTGAGAGGTACCATCTTGTCTTAAGTAGGCCAATGTGTCACATTCATAGACACCATTTATTCCTTCTCCAAGACCATGGTAGGTGTCAGGGACGGAGATATGAGTGAGAACTGGAGCCTAAACAGAAGGGACATTTTTGCTCTTCCTCTCTTACGGATTTCTCATTCTATGAATGATATGTCCACCTCAGTAATAAATGTAAACAATTTAGGAATCATATTACCAAGTGTATTGTAATAATTATGGTTGTCAAAAAAATAAAACCAAAATACAAAAGTCGTAAGATTGTAGCCAGGCGTGGTACTGCTCACCTGTAATCCCAGCACTCAGAGGCTGAGGCAGAAGGATCATTGTGAGTTTGAGACCAGCCTGGGCTACAAAGGCTGGCTCAAGGCCAGCCTGAACTTCTTAGCGAGACCCTCTCTCAAAAAGACACACATACACACACACACACACACACACACACATACAAAGATTACATAGAAACAGTATACGCATAATAAATACACAAAGTTTAAACGTTACAAACCCCACCCACCCCCACAAACTCTCATGTTTTTAGAAGTGATCTCATCAGAAGTGGCGTATGGCAGACACTTGCAATGTCAACTTGAATAGATTAAAAAACACCCAGGAGTTAGTGGAGCACAGTTGTGGATGTGTATGAACCACTGACCTGTAAGCTGCAAAGTAAAAGGGAAGACCCGCCCTGGGAAAGGGACAGGGAAAGGGAAAAAAGGCTCATTTTTGTTCCTCCAGAGGACTTACTGTCTTCACCATCACCTTTGGATGTTCGTTTCTAGTTCCTTCAGGCTTCCAGCCTTCCAGCACAGACCCTGGGGCTTTTTTACATGGACTCAGACCAGACTCTGTGTCAGCTCCAGGACTTCACCTTTCCACCAGATCTTCCTGCTCTTTAACACACAATGGAATGCCCTTTTGCATTCTTCCATCCCTGACTCCACAGGTGGCTGTGTGGGCCTGTGATAAATTCTTTATCACATACATATTTTTATATTGAATCTGTTCCTCTAGTGAACTTTAACTGATACAAGGTGGGTCACCGCAAGCAAAACTTGGAAGGGTATATTTTCATCCCTTCTCTGTCTGCTTCTTTGTTTCCATGCAGTAAGCAGCTTTCTTCTGCCATGCCATTCTGCCATGTGGTTTGTGCCTTGGAGCCAGCTGACCATGGACTGACCTCACAGATACTATAAGCCCAAATAAACTTCTCCTTTAAATTCCAGGTGCCAGGAATTTTGTCTCAGTGATGAGAAAACAACTAATACAGAAAATTAGTACCAAGAGTAGGGTCACTGCTGGTACCAAGAGTAGGGTCATGTGGTTCAGGAGCCTTCAGAACTGGTTTGTGGGAGGAATTTTGAAAGGTTTGGAGATGCTAGCTAGAGAAGCCTTAGAATGCTGTAAACAGAGATTGATGTGATTCTAGCTGGAGTTCAGAAGACCAGAATGCTGATAGGAATGTGAACAGCAAAGGCCAAGCTCAGGAGATTTCAGTTGGGAATAAGGACCCCATCAGCAGTTAAGACTACAGGTCATGTGTGTTATACTCTGGCATAAAATTTATCTACATTTTGCCCATGTCCCTCTGCAGGAGACTGAGATTAGGGTAGTGGACTAATTAACCTGGTGGAGGAAATTTCAAGGCAGCCCCATGTGGAGGTTGTGGCATTGTTACTGTTAGCTGCTTTTAGTCAGATCTAGAGTGAGAATTAGGAGAAAAACATAGGCCTAAGTGATTTGAAAAGTTTTCAGTTTTGCCAGAAAGAAGCTCCTGTGAAGCTAGGGCAAGGAAGAGATAGTTGCTGAAAATATTTGCAATAAAAAGAAGGCAAAACCAAAATGTGGGGCTGCATGCCTGTAATCCCAGCACTTGAGAGGCTGAGGCAAGAGGACTGCCAGAAGTCTGACGCCAGCCTGTATTCAAGGTCAGCCTGAACTACAAAACAAAACAAAAATTTAAAATTGTTTAGCTGTCATGACACTGAGGTCATGGTCCAGTGGGACTCAACTACTACTCAAGCTGGCAGTTGACCATTGCATCATCCACATGGTGCTGGTTTCTCGGGCATGCAGAATGCAAAGTTATGGGGTCATGCAGGCTTCCACTCATATTGAGGAAGAAGTCCTAGGAGACCAAGCTCACATATGTGACAGAGTTATTGTCCCTGACAGGAACTTATATGAGGCAATGCATAAAGCTGTGAGAGAGTGAAACCAAAGGTGCAGTAGTAATGCCAGGAACACAGGACATCTGCTGAGGTAAGCTGCAAGCAGTGGGCAGAACCAGCCCAAGAAGATGGAAGCCTCTGACCACACAGGCTCAAGAAGCAGCACCAGTCCAAGGTCGAAGGCTGGAAGCTCACTGTAGAGTCATCAGTGCAAGTCTGTGCTGGAAAGGTGAAGACACTCACAACTGATGTATGAAAGCAATGATTAAGACGGGAGCTTCACACTTCCTTCTTTTTTCATTTTCTATTTTACTTGGGCTACCAGCCTATTGGTTGGTGCACCCACATTTGGATTGGATTTTCCCAGATATCCTCAGTTTACTGGCTTACATGTCGGTCATCCACAGACACATCTATATCTGTGCTTTAGTAAACTACTGTACATTTTGAACCTATTCAAGTAGCATTCATAGTCACAAACTGTATAATCTAAAAATGTCCCTTTACTCCAATGACTCAACAGAGTCTGCTTCATGCTCTTGATAGATGAAATTCCCGGACTTCACTGCATGGTTTTCAATCTTTTCTCTGGCAAGTTTGTCTCCCACTTTTTCCAAGGCATCCAGCAGTGTGTTGATGGACGCACTGTGTCCTGTTTTACTGAGCCATTTCTGGAGCATTTCATACAGTGGCTCCTTTGGGTTGCAACTTCTTGCTACGTGTATCTCATTGGGTGTGAGGCCCAGCTCCCTCATGAATGGGTCCCAGGTGTTAAAATGCACAACTTCTGTAGCGTAATTGAGGATCTTCCTTAGTGCTAGGAGAGAGAAACACGGGGATGGTTGAGCTCAGAGCACTTCACACAGGACAGAGGATCCTAAATCAGGTCCAGAACCCAAGAGTAGAAACTAACAAGCTCCCTCCTATGTCCATAAAACTGCTGCTTCAACATCACAACCTGCTTTCATCGCAATGCCCGGCCCTCACCTGGGCCCAGCACACTGGGGAAGGCAGAGTCCACAAAGGATCCTGCCCTGGGTGAGGCTGATGACCCACCTGGTGAGGGTGCACTAACATTATGAGAAGGAAGGCAATGGGGGGTATGGGCACAAAGGGGCACAGGCAATGGGCACAAGGGGATCTCAGAGCTTGAAAGTTACATAGGCTGTGCACATTAGGAGTAGAGCCCAGAGGGGGCACGTCTGTGCAGAGCACAGCACCTAGAAGTGGAGGATCTCTAGTTGCCACCCAGCTTGCACTGAACTATTCACCACCGCCGGGGCAGAACTGGATGGAGCAAATGAACTCAGAGTGCCAACCGAACCTGTAGGAGCAACCGCACTTGAATCACAAGCCACGGTGGAGCAAACGATACATGTGAGAAGGCTTGGCACACTGCCGGGATGGAAACACGAGCTGATGTTCTTTTTTTTTCCCTCTCTGTCCCTTCCATTTTTTTTTTTTTTTCCTTGAACTTCCAGTCCTCCTGGCTCAGCCTCCTAAATCCTGGGATTACAAGTGTGTACCACCATGCCCAGCTCAGTGAGCCTCACTCAATATAATAGGAAACAAGTGATATTCATCTTGGCAAGGCATTTTACTTCATTCTAGCCTGTATGAAATTTTATCATTGCAGCATGTAATCAACATTCAAAAACTTATCCATGAGAAGGTTTCTGCCCTTTTTTGCATTAAGTCTTTGAAGTCTGCTTTGTGATGTACACTACAGCTCATGGAACTGGGCCTGGCCAAGGGTCAGGTGCTGGGCAGCCTCCTGGGGACAGTGGGTGGTGATCCGATGGTGTAGCCCCTGCGAGACCCTGGAGGAGGCTGCACTGCAAGAGGACAGGGAGAGGGTGGGAGAGGGGGAGGGCAGAAAGGTACGGTGCGAGGAGCTGGGGTGCACCCCAGTGGGGGCAAAAAAGCGGGGAGAAGGGGACTTACGAAAGTCTAGTGATGAGAACTCAGGATCCGCTGCATCCAGCAGGGACTGCCCTCGTGGAGCCCTATCTGCTCTGGGGACAGCAGCTAGGATGTTGTTCCCATTCCCCAGACTCCTGTTTTATAGCCTCACACAAAACACTTACCCGTGATGGGCTCAACATCCTTCACTGGGACTAGCCGCTTCCTTCTCACCGGTGACCTCCCTGCTTCTGCAGGTCGCTGCTACAAACAGTAAAGATGTCCTGGTCAGAGTCAGGGCACCCGATCCTGACACTCACCAGCCTTGAGACCAGGGGACCTCACTTCTCCTCTAGAATCTCCATGGGGATAAACTTCCTGCCAGCGGCTGTAATACCTTAAGTGCTCATCTGTATAATCTCGCTCCAGTCAGATGGAGCATTCCCACCTATTCCCAGCAGGGGGCAGTCGCCTCGCGGGCTTTTTTTCCCTTTTTTTCCAGCGGTGCTGGGGATGGAACCTAGGGCCTCACACATGGTAGGCATGAGCTTTACCACTGAGCCGCAGCATCAGCTTTTTATGAAACTCCGCAGAAGACTGTATAAGGCGTCACTTTGCGAAATCCAAAGGGAAGGTTTGTTTCAAGAGTGTGAAGTGTTTTAATCAGTCATAATGTCTCATGTCAATAGTCCAAATAAGAAAACTAGGGGCTGGGGATTTAGCTCAGCGGCACAGCGCCTGCCTGGCAAGCGCAAGGTCGTGAGTTCAATTCCCAGTACCGGAAAAACAACAACAACAACAACAAACAACAACAACAAAAAACCACAAAAAAACAAAACCAAATAAGAAAACGAAAATATCGACAGTCACCATGGAGGCCAAGAAGACTTTGCGTAAAACTAACCACTAAATCTGATTTTTTAAGACAGCCAAGAATATAAAGATATACTTATAAGGAAGAGGATGTCTGTATGGACAAAATGCTGTCAGTCACAACGGTGACACACAAAAGGCCTTCCCTACAAGGTCCGATCAAGACCAAAATCCCTGCTTTCTGCTGCTTGTTTGTTTATTTTCTGCAGTGCAAGGGATGAGCCCAGGGCTTCCCACGTGGTAGGCAGGAGCTGTACCGTGATGACCTCCCCAGCCCCTCTAGCATGTTCCAGCACTGTTCTGAGAATTCTGTGCAGCTGGAGGAGCAGCAGAAACAGGAAACAGGATTCTTGGAACACGGCAGGAAAAGGAGCCATTGTTTTAGTTATGTTTATGCACTTTAATCCTAATGTTTAAACAATAAGAAAAGTGGATAAACTCTGGGTGAATGTTTTAAAATGTAGTAGCGCCGGGTGTGTGGCACATGCCTGTAATCCTAGCACTCGGGAGGCAGAGGCAAGAGGATCACTGTGAATTCGCAGCCAGGCTGGGTTACAAAGTGAGTTCAAGGCTAGCCTGAACTGTACAGTGAAACCTTGTCTCAAAAGAAAAATAAAATAAAATAAAATAAAATAAAAATGTAGTAGCAACAATAAATTAGAAAATGTACTTAAAAGAGGATCAAATTTATAAAGGATCCAATTTATAAAGCATTAATAAAACACTGTAGTACAAAGGAAACAGTAGTCAAGAAATCAGAATCACTCATTTGTGGGGAAATCTTAATTTAGTTGTAATAAAATACTTGGCTTGAAACGCTATCTTTGGTGATAAATGCTGACTATTAACAAGATGTCAATTCTTAGATTACTTTTATACTTAAGGTCAATTCAATAAAAATTTCAACTAGTATTTTGGACATGGAGAAAATAAGAAATGAATTCTAGTTTTTGTCTGGGTGAAAGTATAAGTTTTAAAAAACTAAGGTATCAGTATTCGCTCTATTTTTTAAAACCAGATTGGAAAGTTTCATTGTATAGCAAAGGATTATGTATAACAAAATGTCTTTTATGTAAATAAAATATGTAGATATGTAGATATACTTATTCATTAAGACAGAGAAAGGACAGATGATATAGCTCAGTAGCAGAGCGTTTGTCTAGCACGCGTAAAGCCCTGGGTTCAATCCTTAGCAGTGTCAAAAAAAAAAAAGATTTAGAGAAAGAATCACAAGAAATGATCTGTTGTAGTTATGCTGGAGCTGGTGAGCAGAAAACGATGTTCTTATTATTTACTTGAACCCCCTTTTTATACTGTTTAAATTTCTCACTTTGAATATGTATTAACCTCTTCCTAAAAATGTCAAATCACTTAATCACACTGGAGGGGTTAGTGGCATTTGTAATGTTTCCTTTCTGTTTTTATTTTCTTTGTGTTAAATAAAAACTAGGTGAACCCTCGCTTTGTGATTACAGAGGGGTCAAAATTAGAAGGAAATAAGAGACTCAGTGTGTAAATGTGATTAGAAAGAACCAGATGGTGACTTAGAATAATTCAGGGAGCCCTCACCTCATACCACATCACAAAACAAACTCCCCTCAGATTACAGAGTTACACGCAACAACGAATTCTGCAAAAAACCTAGAGGAGTTCATTTTAGTTTGAGGAAAGATCTTTCTGAAGCTGATGAGCCATGAAAACTAAATGTGTCTACCGATTTCACTAACAGTGAAAACTTCTCTAGCCAATGAAAGTCAAGAAACTAGGAATCTGCTATCGGTATGGGACAAGATGCACGGGCAGGAGAACCTGTCTTCTCACACAGATCTCAGCAACAGACGCGCCAATCATATTTGCAATAATAGCCACAACCAAACAACGCGCCTTTGAAACAGTTAGTGTTTTCCTAAATAGCAAACAACAACAACAAAAGTGTTCAACATCAGATCAAAATGAGTGTGCGTGTGTATGCTTGTGTGTGTGTGTAGTGAACGGCGTTTCTATGCACTGACTTAGAAATTCTACTTCCTCCAAACACAAACAGCCGAACAAAGGCTTATTTTCAAACATGTCAACGTGATAATCATCTTAGGGTGGATTTCAAACGCCTGATGTTAGGAAGAAGAGCTCACTAAGCCCCGTGACAAAGCTCAGCCCTTGTTCACTCAGCGGCAAACACCTCTGTGCCTGCACTGCTCCAGGGTCGGGGGAGGGACCCAGCACGAGCAGGACAGAGATCAGAAGTGACAGTTCCACAGAGTGGCTCTGTCACCACATGGAGCCCCGTGCAGCGCTGCCCTAGTCAGCCCCTTGTCTCTCTGTCCCACTTCCCCTGCGCCAGGAGGGTTGATGTTCAGTCCTTCCCTCTGCCTAGAACCCAACACCGCCACTACTCACCAACAGACAGTCCGCCTCCCCTGGGCACTGTTCGCTGACACCTGCTACTTCTTTATATTGTTGTCTTTCGGGCTCCGAGATCGGGGAAGGCGGTGAGACTGTCTCGCTGAGCGCCTCATTGTGGTCATTGTCCTGAGCTTCAGACCTTCTCGGGGGCCCTGAGGGCTTGATGAGGATCTTGGGAAGGCAAAGAGGCCCCTCAGAAGTCCACGCCCAGCACTCCCTAAAGGGTCCCCAAGGCCTTCCAGTGTGCCTCCCCCAGGCCAGCATGGCTCCCCCCACAATCTGCTGCTGGCACTGCGATCCTGGTGTCATGCCCAGGTGGGGTCACCACCCTGCCGGTTGGCCCAGAGCCTCAGGCTGCTTTACAGAGAGCCGGGAGAGCAGCACAGGACAAATGGACACGGTCCTCTCCAGGCTGTGCAGTGGCTGGAGGCGGTTCCTGAGCCCCCATCCCCCAGGCCCGGGAAGGGTCAACTCACTCCACTCATGTGCTCGGAGTCTTGTCCAGAGCCTGGAAGAGAACAGGGTCTCTCCGATGAGGAGGTAGGGGCTTCACGCAGCAACTCTTCCCTGGGAGGCCTGGACTTCAGACACCGGACAAGAGCCTGAATGCCAGGCAACCCTTAGGAGGAGGCACAGAGGGACAAAATTAAGCAGATGCCCAATCTTTGAAAGGCCCTGCTCTGACCATGCCTAAATCAGCATGTGGTGCACACCTGTAATCCCAGAACTCAAAAAGGCTGAGGCAGGAGGATGGCCTTGAGTTCTAGGCCAGCCTGGACTACATGGTAAGTTCAAGGACACCTGAGCTACACAACGAGAACTTATTTTTAAAAGAACGAAAAGAGAGAGAGAGAGACTGACAGGGAGGTGCCAGGGAGGTGGAAGATGGCAGGATATTTACAGGGAAACAATAAAAGGCAGGGTGAGAGGACACAGGCGTTGGGGGCATTTCCGTGTGGGAACAGAGCAGCACGGGGAGGGGCCACCCCTTACTTGAAAGGATGTTCCTACAGTCAGGAAGTCTTCTCCACCATCCACACTTCCAAACAAGCACAGCCAAAACCAACGTCAGGAAAGCTATGGTGACGGTCACTGCTGTGGGGAGAGTCGAGTCTATGGAAGGACAAGGAGAGGCGGGAGTCCTTGGACTGCTGGTCACTGGCCTTCCAGGAGCTGGGGCTTTCTCAGTGGCCTTGGTACCTGACTCTTCGTCCACACACTTGAGGTCACTCCAGGGGGTACAGGGACTTGCCATCACCTTCCCATCCGGGCAGCTGGGTACACACAGGGAGGAAATGGTGGGCTTCCATGAGGGAAGGTAGGCCACATGGGGCACAAGAGGGAGCCACCCCTCCCGCCCAAAGGCCTGAGAAGGTGCCGGGGGAAGACAGGCTCCTCATGCCTCCAAGTGTCTGCCAAACTCACCCTAAGTCTGGGAAAGGCCCTGAGCCCCCCGCCGCTCCCCACGCTGTGCACCTCCTCTGCAGGTGCGCGCTGGCCATGCCCGGGACTCAGGGGCAGGGCTGGAGCCTGTGTGGCCACTGCCAACCTTCAGAACAACTAATCTCTCATCCTCCCAGTCTAGCCTTCCTCTCAATCATAGCAAACACCAGGAGTTGGAGAGGAATAGATTAACTACTGGCCTGGCGCCTGAAGCCTCCAATAGCAACACAACGTATTTTTTCCCTAGTTTGTGTCCTTCAAGGATTTCCCCCATTTCTTATTAGTGCATATTGGCTATACAAGTTAATGAGTTTCATCCCGGCAGCTGTGTACATGTGCCTGACTGCAATCGTCCCCCGCCCCTCCCCTCCCCACCCCCTCCCGGACTTTCCCTTCTAGTTTGTCATGTAGCTCTTTTTTGGGGGGGGTGGTCAATGGTATAACGTATTTTGATCACACTCATGTCACCTGTCACATACTTTTACATCCTCTCCTGTTCCTCCTTCTCCCCTTTCTCTTGTCTAATAATAATCTCCCTTCTGCTTATCTGCCATCTTTTTTAGATCCCACATACTAGGGAGGACAAGCTATATTTGTCTGAGTCTCGCTTATTTTACTCAACATGATGATCTCCAGATCCATCTATGTTTTTTTTTTTTTTTTGCAAATGACAGAATTTTGTTCTGTTTTATGGTTTAATAATACTCCATTGTATATATCCATTCATCTGCTAAAGGGCACCTAGCTTGGTTCATATCTTGCCTACGGTAAATTGTGTTGCTTCGGGTATGCAGGCATTCCTGTGATGTGATTTTAATTCCTTTGGGTATATACCCAGCAGTGATACAGCTGGATCAAATCATAACTCTATTTTCTGTGTTTTGAGAAGTGTCCATACCGATTTCCATAGTGGCTGTACAATTTACATCCCTGACATTTACCAGCATTTATTATTATTTTATTATTTTTAGTGTATTCTTGATGCTAGCCATTTTGACTAGGGTCAGACTGGTAGTCTGTGTGTCTATTTTGGTGCTAATATGATGCTGTTTTTGTTACTATGGCTTTGTGTTATAATTTGATATTATGATATCTCCAGTCTTGCTCCTATTGCTTAGGATTCTATTAGCTACTCTGGGTCTTTTGTGTTTCCAAGTGAATTGTACAATTTTTTTTTAATGGTAAAGACTGCTTTATTGGTGGCAGTTAGTACAAGTCAATAAATATTGATCCCCAAAGAGCTCAGTTATTTATCATACTGGTCCAGAGAGCTGATGAACCGAACCCCGTGACTGCTGGTTTGACCAAGGTCATTCCGGCTTCTTGGGAAATGATGTCATAGCCAACTGATATACGGCATACGCAGTTCTGCCCACTGTAACAATCACAGTGGCTCTATACAAGAGGGCATCAGCTACCCCACCCTTCAGATGCACTGGAATTCCACTGTCCTCCTGAAAGAACTTTTGTTTCTGTGGAACTTTATTTTCAGAATGCCTGCGTGAAGCAGTGCTGATGGTTCTCTGAGCAAGAGGTTGGAGAGCCAGCAGATTCTGCAGCATCTTTCGTGGTTACAGTCCAACAAACTTGAGGTCTGACCACCAGGAACAAAAGCCACTGGAATTTTAGGATTTTTTGTTCTACTTCCCCATTGCTATTTTGATGGTGATCACACTGAATCTGTAGATCACGTTGGGCTGGAGCTTTAACAGGATTAATTCTGCCAATCCATGAGCATGGGAGGTCTTTCCATCCTCCAGGGTCTTCTTCAATTTCTTTTAGCGTTCCGAAATTTTCTTACTAGAGGTCTTTTGCCTCTTTGGTTAGAATGATCCCTAGGCATTTTATTAGTTTTTGAAGCTATTGTGAATGGAATTGCTTTCTGATTTCTTTCTCAGCTAGACATTATGGTACATAGAAAAGCCATTGATTTTCATGTTGATTTTATATCCAGCTAATTTGCTAGTTGTTTATCAGCTCTAAAAGTCTTTTAGCGCAATCTTTGGGGTCTTCTAAGTACAGAGGGATCAGGGGTCTGAGGTGAGGCTAGCTGAGGTAGCTCTGGTGTTTTTATGCCTTCTGTAGGTTTTGTGGGGGTATAGATACTTTTGTCTAAGCACAATAAAGGACTAAAAAAATTACATTTTATTACTGACATGGTATATCAGTGAACATAAACCTGGCCATATTCCACTCACTTTTCTGTTTTCAAAGGGAACTAAATCATGTCGTGGAGTCTGCACTGAACAAGCTCCCTGGCCAAGGGGAAATGAAAGGGCGGGAGAGAAGGGGACCATGCAGATGGACTGGGCAGATGGACCAGGAAGGGCTATCACGGGCTCAAAGACCCCACTGGCGGTGGGAGATCTGTGGGATCAAGAAAGAGAAAGGGATACAAGGAAACTTGGGCCTTCTGTGGGTTCCGTTGGGCCACTGGGAGCCTCAGTTTCTGTGTCTTACCTGGTCCGGCACTTCCGGCAGAATTCAGGGGACCCTTCTTCCCGGAAAGTGCCTTCCTTACAGTAGCAAACAGCATTGTTGGTTCTGTTGCATGGATATCTTTGATACTCGTCTGGAGACAAAGAAAAAGTTTTTGGCGATGAGTTGCCCTGGTTACCCCAGTAGCTTTCCTGTCACTGTCACTGACCTCTGCAAAGCCTGGATCTGTGGGAGAGGAGAGAGGGGCTGGGGACGTGAAGACTGAGAGAGCTCCACACCTGTGAAGGAGTGGCGCCTGGCCGAGAACAGATGCCAGTCTTCTCCGCCCAGCCACTCCTTTTTCTTATGCTGCAGCCCTCACTGCTTTGGAGGGAGAGATGAATGTGAGTTGGGCTTTTTGCAGAAAGTTCTGGAAGGAGAGGTCTAAGGCCAGAGTGGGTCTGACTCATGGGGAAAGCAAACAGTCTGTGTGAGGTCAGGACACGTATGTCCCCTGCTGCTGAGACATAGGGGATGCTCAGGGTTGCTTGTTCTGTCCTCCTCAGGCTGGTACCAGCCCCCTCTATCTGCCTCGCTGCTTCCTTCCCCCTCCACTCTTCCCTCTCCCATCACAGGAATCTCAGTCAAATGCAAACCAGACCGCTGCATGTGGTGAAAGGAAAGCTGTCAGCGAGTTCACACCCCTTAGAAGCGAGCAGGAGACTGGTGCCACAGCCGGAGCTGAATCAGGCACAGCTCCTGCAGGAGGAGGGCGCTTTACTCCTTCACCCTGGAGCCCCTGCTGAGATGTTCTTCCCTCTGCCCACTGAATGCTTGTGTCCACCCTTCAAGGTGCAGTTCGCGGTGCCCTGGTCTCCACAGCCCCTCCCCTCCCTGCAGCCGGGGTCCCCTGCTCAGTCACCTTGGGCCCAAGGCAGCCTCCAGGGAGTGTCCCTTCGCAGCCAGCCCCAGTGACTCACCACCCGCCCAGGGGGAGCCATCAGCAAGCTCAAAGACCAGTCTCTATGGGCCATCGAGCAAATCTGAGAGCACTGGATTGGCCCCACCACAGGGGCAGATCAGCCTCCCACCCTTCTCGAATGATGGGTTCAATGACTTCCCTAAAAAGTGGCCTGAATCAAAGAATCATGAACAGGGTGTTAGGATGAAGACAAGCTGGGCTGGGTTGGAGGTTCCTGAGTCCCCATCAGCTACGTTCCCACCTCATCTTCCCCACGCCCACCCCAGGGCCCCCTTGCCGGGTACCTTGGGCACAGGCCCTGCAGGAGATGCATGACGGGAGCTGATTCGGGTAGCTCGTGTAGTCTACCCCATCTTCACATTCTTCGCACCTCCTACTGTTCTGTGACAAGTAGGACCCTGAGGGAGGGAAAAGCTGGTGAGCAAATCTTCACAAACTTCCCAGCGCTGGCGGGGGAAGGGGAGGCTCTTTTGGCCATCCATGGAATACAAACAGGCTCACAAATAGGCTCACGTCCTCCATGCCCCTTAGCGCCCACCCCACCCCCCACCACCATAGAAAGATAATACATGCCTGAAACTCAAATGCATAGTACCCAGGATGAAAAGAATAAGGCTAAATAAAATCTTTGGCTTTTCTGAGACAAGGTCTTTTTTTTTTTTTTTTGTCTTTTTTTGAGGCAAGCTCTCGCTATGCAGTTCAGGCTGGCCTTGAGCTCACTTTGTAGCCCAGGCTGGTCTGGAACTCACGACAACCCTCCTGCCTCAGCCTCCCAAGTGCTGGGATTACAGGCATGCACCACCATGCCCGGCTCTGAGACAAGGTCTTGCTGTGTATTCCAGGCTGGCCAAGGGCCTCAGCCGCCTGACTGCTGAGGTCGCAGGTGTGCGCCACCACACCCGGCTTTACAGCCAGATTAACAATGCACTTTTGGGCCAAAAATATCTAAAATATTATTTTGTCAACATGCAATCAATATAAAACATATATGTACCAGGAATAAAACCCAGAGTCTTAGCATTGCACTATATCCCCAACCCTTTAAGTATTTTTTTTAAATTAATTAATTATACATCTTTAACTCATTTATTACTTTTAATTAATTTTTGTGACACTGGGGGTTAGATCCAGGATCTTCACACTGAGCTACGTTCCCAGCCCTTTTTATTTTATTTTATTTTATTTTCTATTTGAGACAGGGTCTGGTTAAACTGCTTCTGCCCAGCAGGGGGCTGAGACTATAGGCCTGCACCACCATGCCTGGCTTCCTTTTATTAGCTTTTTTAACACTAGATCTTTGAAATCCAGGGTGCATTTTTCACTCACAACGTACATCCTGGTAACCTCGTATTCTACTTAAGGTCCTGGAAAAATAAGAGGAAACTAAAGAGAAAGCAGGCAAGAAAGAAAGAGTAGAACACCCAGGAAAAGTAAAAAGACCAAAAACTTGTTCTTTGAACAGAGCAACAAACTGACAATGGCTGTTTGACGTGGCGGGGAGGGGTTGCAAATGATTAGAACCTGAAATAAGAGAAAAGTTATCACTACTGACTTCACAGGAGAGACTACCATGAACCTCCACAGAGCCACAAATCTGGCAACTTCAGTAAAAGTGGACAGATTTATAGAAAGACACAAACTACTGAAACCAACTCCAGATGAAACAGTCTGGCAGCCCTTCCCCTTGAAGGGCTGCGGGGTGGCTGGTCTGGGAGGACATCGCAGTGGCAGGCAGCCTGGCAGCCCCAGCGGGCCCAGGCAGTAGCTGAAGCAAGGTTCAGGACCCATGGCTCACCAGTATGTGGCGTAGCTGCGCTCACAGGGAGCAGAGTAACAACAACCCCTCCTCTACCTGCCACACCCACCAGACCTCAGGGGCCAAGGCCAAGATGGGGGAACAGGCGTGCACAGTACGTGAACTGCGCTTCAGCAGGAGAGACGTAAGGAGGAGGATGGAGGGTATGATGGGTGGGGTCTGGCGCTGTCACCACGGTATGACTCAGGATGAAGATGACTTCAAGAAGTTGACTGCACCAGACTCTGTGTGAATAAGTGAGAGGGAGGATGACCACGATGATGACTACAGGAGAGAACATTTGGGGTTAACCGGGAAGAGGGCGCGGCGCAGAGCTGTAAACCAATCTGCCCGTCCTAGGGGCACAACAGCTTGCAGACCAGAAAGTGCCTTCTGCTCCAGAGACTGATAGATACAGTTCCTGGGGGCCGGGCTGACCACAACAAAGAAAGAACCACACCTGAGAAGTCCCAGTGAACTTGTGTGCAGAAGTGGAGTTGGGGGCTGGGCATCACCCAGCATGCCTATAATCCCAGCACTGGGGAGGCTGAGGCAGGAGGATCTGGAGCTAGAGACCAGCCTTGGCTAGCTACATATGAGTTCAAAGCCAAGCTAGATTGAGACTCTGTATCAAAAAGAGGCGGGAACAGAAGCAGGGAGCAGAGAGGTCAGGGGGATAAACTTTTGAAGTGAGACACAAAAAGAGGTAGGAATAACAAGTAGCGTTTCTTTTTTTTTTTTTTTTTCGGTACCAGGAATCGAACTCTCGACGTTGCACTTGTCAGGCAGGTGCTGTGCCGCTGAGCTAAATCCCCAGCTCCCAAGTAGCATTTCAAAACACGAGGTGGAGCCACCTCAGGGTTTCAGCCCCACTGCTCCTTCTGCAGCTTGAATTTACAGGAATTTTCATTGCCCTATACATGTGTGAACTAGAATCAGCAGCATTCTTTCCTAATTACTCTGCAAGTAATAACAGAAAAAAAAAAAAAGAGCGCACATCCTGCAGCATTCTTTCATGACTCTGCAAATACAGAAAACCCTGCTGGCCATGGTGGTGCACATCTGTCATCTCAGCACCCTGAAAGGCTGAGGCAAGAGGACTGTAAATTCAAGCCAAGCCCAAGCAACTTAGTAAGACCCTGAATCAAAATAAAAAAAATGAAAAAGGGCTCGGGATATAACTCAGTGTGAAGGCCCTGGCTGGGTTCAATCCCCAGTACTGCAAAACAAAACAAACAAAACACACCCTACAGCCAACGTCATGTCTAAACTGTTCTATGTTCAGACATGGGGCCTTCATAAGGGCTGACCATCACAGATTTTCTGCACTTTCGGTGGACTTCATGTGGCTCACAATGTTAAAAGATTAGTGTGAACTCTCCTAGCAGAAGGTTAAAAGGTTAGTGTGAACTCTCCTAGCAGAAATCCAGCAGAAAGTCAGCCATCTGGGTTCTGATCTGCTGCGCAAAGTGAAGATTTGTGTGCTCTTATTTAACCTGCCCATGCTCCAGCCTACTCCATGTGATAGGCTGTGGCTGAACCAGACTTCCCGATCTCAAGAGAACTGTGATTTATAACTTAGTTTTGGTTGAAGTCTGATGCAACCACAAATTACATTCAACCATACTTGAGTCCAGCATGGGAGAAGGGGAGCAGGAGGCGGCACTCTTGTTTTGTATTAGTTTCACTTTGCCATAGAGTAAGTTCGTTGACAGAATATACTGCTTGGTTAAATAAGTAACCTGATGTATGCACTAGAATTGGGAAATGTTTGCCCGTCACTGGGGTGGGACCAAAGAGCCTTTCTTTGATGTGCAGGGCATGGACGCCGCAGGCTCTACTTCAGGTGCTGCTAGAGTCTCAGCTGGTCAGGTCTAAACTACCAGAGACTATTAGAGCAAGAGGATGGCTTCTGCTCTGGCTAAACGATTCCCTCACATGTCCTTACAGATTGAAAGCGACATGAGTAGATCCCACCTAATACCTATTCGAGTTTCAAGGATCTTGCATGATCTTTGATAAGCATCACTCATGTACTAGTGCCCAAATTTCTTTTTTTTTTGGTTTTTCTCCGGTACCGGGAACCGAACTCACGACCTTGCACTTGCCAGGCAGGCACTTTTGCCGCTGAGCTAAATCCCCAGCCCCTAGTGCCCAAATTTCAAGGCATTGGATATTCTAAAGACACAATGAGGGCCGGGGATGTAGTTCAGCAGCACAAGCACCTGCCCCGAAGGCACAAGGTCCTGAGTTTGATTCCTGGTAAAAAACAAGAAAAGAAAAGAAGATGCAGTGATTGCCCCTGCTAGCTCTACAACTGTATTAGTCAGCTTTCCCGTTGCTAGGGCAAAATACCTAACAGCCGCAATTTAAAGGAGGAGAGGTTTGTTTTGACTCACGGTTTTAGTCCAGGGTTGGCTGGCTCTGACGCAGAAATGGCGTGACAGAGGGGCCTGGCTGAGAAAAGGTGCTTAATCTGTAGCAGCCAGGAAGCAGAGGGATGAGAATACATCCTTCCAGGTCGTGTCCTTATGACCACCTCCAGCCAAGCCCCACCTCCTGACTGCACATTCAGCTACAGACTCATGAATACAGCACCATCATGATCCGCTCACCTTCCAAAGACACGAGAGTTATAGGGCATGTCTTAGACCTAAGCCTCAGGAAGCTATCCAAGACTACCGAAGAGTCTCTTTTCCAGTTTCAGTTCAATAGAAGAATTTCACAGTGGTGCATGACCACTGGAAGGAGAGACTGGGTTTCTCCAGAACAGATCCCTCTGCCAAATGTACAAGGGCAGATTCGCCACAGGCAAGAACAAAGTAAATGACATGGGAGCATCTCCTAAAGGGCCAGGTTGGATGAACGTGTTGGTGCAGGAACTGGAATCTAGAGAGGGTTAGAGTAGCTTCTGAAGGACCTGCCAGCCACTTCCGAGCACTGTGCTGGCACTGTCTGAGTGGGCAGGGAGGATGCCTGCCTGCTGATGCATTTGGGTGCGTGGCTGAGCCAGCCCAGGGGAGGCTGTGCGGTTAAATGAGAACAGATTGTTGGTGAAACTGCAGGCTTCAACTGGGAACCAAAAATCTCAACAAATAATCTCTTGAACCATGAGCCACATACTTTCCTTGAGGAGGATGCATTTGTCCTTGCACAGTTGCAGGGGTGAACGTATTATTGAGAATTAACTGAGATAAGTATCAGGAAGGTTGTATTTAATGCCATACTGTACTGGAAATCTGAAGACCTGCAGCAGATTTAATTCCAACGCTCACCAGAAATCTTTGTGATTGCAAAATTAGCAAGATGCTATGAGTCACTTTAATACTTCATATGAGGGGCAGGGCAAAATGGTCACACAGAGACTTTGAATAAATCAAATAGAAGACACTGACTCAGGGAGCAAAAATTATACTCCTTTCGGCAGCGCGTATACTAAAATAGTCAGCAAAAGTTAAGCTCAAAGAAAAGTCCACACCCAGGTGATTTCACCCCTGAACTCTACAAAACATTTCAAGAAAAATTAATGCTAATGATTCCCAGGCTCTCCCAAAAATAGTAGTGGAGGGAATACTTTCCAACTCATTTTAGAGGACAGTATTA